TAGAACAAACTGCATTATTTTTTAATCACTTGACTATGATCCTAGTCACAAGGGAAAAGAGGCTTACAATGTCACTTTATTTCTAAAATGTTCTACATTCAAAAAACATTTAGCCCATACTTAGACTAGAAATAGCTTTACAGTATTAGTATTAAATTAAAATTAAATCTATTAGACAACCAAATTTGCTAACATAAAATATTATAACTGAGTACCAATAATACTTTAGAGATATCAAGGGCACTGCAATACACTATTTCATTGTATGAATGTTACTTAGCTTCAGGTTTTCACTAGGTGGCAGGCTTAGCTAATGCATTGTTTCTCAGTATAAAATAACAAATGGTTTAGCTTCATGTAAATAGAAAGAAATGTAAGCGTATCAGTTAAATTTTGTTGTCCTATCTAATTTCAACTCTAAAAGTTACCCAAGTACAATGACTGAATCACTCTATCATATGTCATTTTCCCTAAGCCCTCAGATGTATCAGATATTACATACGGGTGTATTTCTGCTTGGTATATGTTAGAAAAGGATTACAAATAAAAGAATCCAAATAATCACAAAATTATTGAAAGTTCAAATAATGGTATATATAAAAAGTAAATACTGTTTTTTCAGGGAAATAAAAAGGTTTTAAAACATGAAAAGAATTGTCGCTTAGTAGCTTTTTTAAAATTAATTTATTTACTGGAAAGAGTTACACAGGGAGAGAAGGAGAGGCAGAGAGAGAGAGAGTCTTCCATCCACTGGTTCACTCCCCAATTGGTCGTAATGGCTGGAGCTGCGCCAATCCAAAGCCAGAAGAAAGGAGCTTCCTCCAGGTTTACCCACGCAGGTGCAGGGGCCCAAGCACTCGGGTCACTTTCCACCGCTTTCCCAGATCGTAGCAGAGAGCTGGATCGGAAGTGGAGCAGCCGAGGCTCAAGCCATATGGGATGCAGGCACTGCAGGGAGCAGCTTTACCCACTACCCACTACACCACAGCACCGGCCCCCCAGTAGCTGTTTTCTTTGTAAATTCCTTCTCTTGCCATCTATCTCATCATGGCCCCACATGTATCTCACGAGCTATCCATTCACTAGTCTTTTAAAAGTACTTAATCTAGGAGCTTTCATTGAATCACAGTGTCATCAGTAGGAAAATAAACAGCCTTATAACTTGTGAATTTTTACTGTTTCCTCTATTAGTTGTTAGAATGTTTAAGCATAGGAATTTCACTTTCTACATCTTTGTATTTCCTGGAGTTCAGAAATTTCTGAAAGACAAAACTGAATCAGTTGTTAAATTAGCTATTAAATATTACCCTCAAAACATACAAATACTAGTGAAATTATGTCCTAACAATCAGTATTTATGAGTTAGAGAGTAGAGTTTACAAAATGTTGTGTTTTTAGAGTAGAGTTGATTTTAACACATGAAACTGAACATGCTGCTAGATACTCTAACAATTTATAATCTGTTTCTATTGAGTTTTCTTTCCAATGTTCTGCCTATTTCTTTAGGATAGGGTAAGCTGAGGCTTTAGAACCTGAGTGGTAGAGTATGAGTCTGGCTCTGCCAACCACTGGAATCTCACCGTGAATATGTTGCTTCATTGCTCTGTACTTGTTTCCACATTGTTAAACTGACAGCTGTAGACAGATCAGAGCAGTATTTTGAGATTAGAGGAGGTAATGTGTGGCCCTCTTGTTTTCCAGCCTAAGTTGGAAACTGTTGTGATCCAAAGAAGTCAGACCAATAGAGATCAAAACATCAGGCAGGAGGTTGTGACTTTGGTGTGTGGTGATTGTGGCTTCTTAACTCTACCCTGGAAAATAGTGGTCAAGGCCCTTGCTCTGTAGGGCTGGGCCTACTTCATGGCCTGGCATGGAGAAGTCTGAAGATTCTGCAGATATAGCATCAGGATTGAGCCCCATGATTCCAGGTAGAGAGGAGGGGTACAGATGGAAACACACAATAGGGAGGCTCCTGCCTGATGCAGCGAACTTACATTGACAGGGGTAGACATTTGGTGCAGCAGATAAGACACAGCTTGGGCCATTCACATTCCATATTGAAGTGCCTGAGTTTCAATCCTTTCCCTGGTTCTGATTCCAGTTCCCTGCTAATGTAGTTCCTGGAAGGCAGCAGGTGATGGCTCAAGTACTTTGGTCCCTGCTGCTCACCTATAACTCCTGGATTGAGTTCCTGGCTCCTGGCTTCTTAATGATGCAGCCCTGGCTGCTGTAGGCTTGTAGACAATGAACTAGTCGATTGAAGATCTGCCTATTTCTGTCTGCGTCTTTCTATCCCTTTGCTTTTCAAATAAATGAATGCATACATAAATAGCCAAAAATGAAATAGAATAAATACCTCTTAGAATGATCATCTATAAAGTTTAGATAGTGATTTTTTATTCTAAAAAAACAAGAAAGGGAAAAGACAAAAAGGAGAACATTAGGTCAGTTAATTTTTCTTTTGAGAAGTACAGAATATAAATGAGATTCATTGTCTAAATGAGGCTATAGGGCTTTGTGTTCATTGATCTATTTTGGTACTATTATTTATTCATCTGTGTTCCTACCATCAGAGATGACTGAATATGGTTTGTAACAAACCATGCTATGATAAATATCTTTAGTGACATTGTTATTTTTAAATATTTCTTAATAAATACATTTGAAACTCCCATATGGTGTGAAATGTGGCAGTTTGTGGCATTTCCTTGGCTTACCAGATGGAATTTCCTGGCCCCAAAGTCAACTGATTTTTTTTTCCATCAGATCACTCTTCTAATTTTTTAAATTTCTGAAAAACAGGAAGATTAATTTATTCATTCTCATTTGTGACATTTGTGTAAAAAGAACAGAGCTCCTAAAGGAATGCAGATAATGCAGCTTCTTCATAAACCCATCTTGTTACATTGCTGCATCTTCTTCATCAAGATTTTAATCTAAACTTTGTATTCCCACACACAAACAAGAATTCAAACATTTTTAATAAAACTTTATAATTAAAAGAATATAAAGTGCAGTGGTAGGCACAGAGAAGAAAACTTAACCTTTCTGATGTCACAATTTAGTAGCACTGAGGTATGGATAAAACCTACCAGAATATATGGCAAAAAGTCATTCAGTAGACACTATAAATCAAATTTCTTAAGAAACCCAATTTGAGCTGGTGCCGCAGCTCAATAGGCTAATCCTCTGCCTTGCGGCGCCGGCACACTGGGTTCTAGTCCCGGTTGGGGTGCTGGATTCTGTCCCGGTTGCTCCTTTTCCAGGCCAGCTCTCTGCTATGGCCCGGGAGTGCAGTGGAGGATGGTCCAAGTCCTTAGGCCCTGCACCCGAGTGGGAGACCAGGAGAAGCACCTGGCTCCTGCCTTCGGATCAGCGCGGTGCGCTGGCCGCAGCGGCCATTGGAGGGTGAACCAACGGCAAAGGAAGACCTTTCTCTCTGTCTCTCTCTCTCACTGTCCACTCCGCCTGTCAAAAAAAAAAAAAGAAAGAAAGAAAGAAACCCAATTGGAGAGTGATTCTGACTTTAAAATATTTTTAAATTTTCATCTCAAGGTCACAGAAATATTGAAAACAGTAATCAATTGTACAAAAATTTACATTTTTAAAAAATTTCAACAATCAGCATTATAATTTGTTTACATCAGGAAATATAATAATAGTTCTCAAAATGGAGATGGAGTTTTATAACCCTGGTTACGTTTCTTCTTTTAAAGACTGAATTTCATAAAATACCTGGTACCACATCTTCAAAGGAGGCCTGCATGTTAGGCTGCTTAGGTGTCTAAGAGGGCACACAGATTTCCGAGGATTCTGCCAGTGTCACCTGGCCTGCTCTCCCCCAGAGAGCGAGCCCTGCTGGCAAATCCTCAGTGAGCACCAAGGTGTCAGACGTGAGGAAGGGCAAAAGCCCTCTTGTCATGCCAGGATTCAGGGGCAGGACTCCCATCCATAAAACACACATTCCTATGCTTGTGTAAGGTGTCAGGGAGACCCCAGCACAAGGAGGGAACAGCACCCTGTCGACGGGAACCTGCAGAACTTGAGGAAAACAGTAGCTGATTTGTTAATGAACCACAGAAAGACTGTTTCTCTCCTGCCTGTTTTCAGTCATTTGTAGTCCCTGAGGTTGGTTCAGTCAAGGGTAGGAATTTGAAGTGGCCATAACTGAAGGACAAACTGCAAGAGAGCCAAAGCTGAGTATTATAGGAATCCCAAAAGATTTGAACCAGGTAAGTGTCAGATAAGCAACTGCAAAAATCAGATCAGCAACTGCAAAAGTAAAAGGGCATTAACTGTGCTATGATCCTCTTCCTCCAAGGGAAAACCTTGTGTGTGGGGGGGGGCGCTGTATACACATACATATGTGCACATGTGTACATATTGTGTACTGCTGTGGGGGAAAAGCAAGTGTGAAAATTTCTCAGAACACCCTGCAAAATACTGCCCATGCTTTGACTTGGGCCCCAATTGATTACAGTGAGATTTTATTTAAATTGAGATTTTTTTTCTCCTTAGAATTCCATTGTAGCAAGTTTTGACATTTAGAAAATTGTATATTATGGGAACATGGAGACAGGACTTCACATTCACTTAATGGATGAGAAGCTCATCATGTGAATTTTTTGCCGATTAGCATGTTCCTGTTATAAATTTCTGTTTTAATTTCATCCACACAGTAATCTTATAACTACTTAAATCAGCTTTATGAAATTTTCTTCTATACTTTTCCATAACTGCAGAGCAGAAATGTCTAATAAAAGCCAAATTAGGGAATTTACTTTTCTTATTGTGCTAAAATGTTGGTTAAAATATTCTTTGGAAAATAGTGTTCCATTTTTCTTGCATTGTACAGAACATTTTATGTGGCACTGCCTGCTGTTGTAATTGGGTACAGTTTTATGCCTAAGGCTAGGAATCACTCACTCATAAATATGTTGTTATAAAAAAGACCATATTGGATTGTTAGTGTAATGCCAATGTTTTTTTCTGAAATGTAGGTTGTTTTCCAGTCTCAGTATTATCACAGAACTCACTCACCCTGCCAACATGAGATTCATGCAATTCAGAGCCAAAGACTGTTACTCTCTTGCTCTTTCAAAACTGGAAAAGGTAAGACCTCAGATGTTAATAAGTTGAATTTAACCATTTTGGTTCAAAAGATAACTCAGATAGATAGATAGATAGATAGATAGATAGATAGATAGATAGATAGATAGAATATCATAAGATTAACATGTTCTTTTGAATTCTTATTTGGTATTAAAATCGTAATTCATAGTTTAAGAAAATGTGAATTAATAGATTTTAAGCACTTATATTACAAGTGAATATGAAGGAGACTTTTTATGATTATCATTAATCATAAATTGAAAACATGACTTATGAGAGAATTAAATGCAACAGAATGTTATGCTTATTGATAGTGTCAGTAACATTACAAGTGACTAGCTGTGTTGTGAAGTCTTTGCTGTTTTCCAAACTCCTGAAGGTCTTAGGAAAGTTACAGGCACTGTTGAAAGCTGCTTCCAAAGGTCAACAGCACAGCCTGAGACAAAGCCAAGTTTACCCCTTACCTAAGTCACAGTGACTGCCCCTCCAGAGAGTTTTGGCAACACTTCAGGGAGGGCTAAACAAGCGTGACATTTGTTGAGAACTGGAAATATGATTTAATGGAGGTTTTCCAAAGTGAGTACTTGGTTCAGGATTGGGAAGAGATCAGGATAGTGCTACCGGAGACAGTGGAATTACAAAGTTGTGCTATGTAGACAGAAAGGCATGGTTTCCATGTGCAGAATCCAGGCTGAAAGTAAGGGCATAAGGGCATGGTTTTTCCTTAGTTTTCACCTGCTATCAATACACTGGGAGAGTTGGATGTAATAGAAAATGATAAAACTTGAATGTAATAGGAAAAGAAAAAGGATATACATGTAAATATGTGTTAAATCTCTGCTGTCTTCATCGTTGTTATGAGGTAAAGAAAATGATACCTTCCTTTTCTTGATGAGTTCTTTTTTTGTTGAACCATTTTGATTCTGTCATTCCAGATACTGTCCTAATTCCCATAGGACATCTGGTTGAGGAAGGTGGCTTCCACACTCTCCTCTGTTGATTTCCATCTTTAAAGCTGGTCCTGTATACTACATTAGTTGAGGCTCACCATACTGCTTTATGGGCATAGAAAAATCACTGTAACAATTTGCTTCCAGATATGGAAGCTGACTTGGAGGTTAGTTAAACAACCTTTTCAAGATTGTACAACTGTCAAACCAGTGCAATAAAGGAAACTTAAGGCCATTAACATTCTGACAGAACTCTTCCATTAGGCACCACCTCTTGCACGACACAGAAAGTGTGGCAAGCAGGGCTCAAAAATGACTCCTCATCTACAAGCAAACCAGTCATTAGGAGTCCCACTGAGATTGGTGCTGGCATGAGACAGTACAGCATCCCCTATGACAGTTGAAGCAGACTCATCTAGTGGTAAAGAAGCTGGGATCTGGAGTCAGACTTCTTGAAATCTCTAAGACTTGAGAAATGAACCCTGTAAAAATTATGAATACATTCATAGTCCTGGTATTCTTACCTAGGAAATAATGGTAGAATGTGAATTATAAGGTCATTGCAAAGATCACACCAAATATTCAATGCAGAACACTTAGCACAAAATTTGACATATAATTAGGGCTCAAAAAAGTTACTAAAACCATAACTATAAACTATATTTGTTGACATTGTTACTAATCAATATCCTATTTTGTGTATCCAATGTTATACCAGATCAGTTGATACACCAAGGTCACAATTGTGGGAGGCACTTTTAGTATTTGTGAGTGAGTATGTATGTATGATTTTCTGTTTATTACATGAGGAAAAAATGAAGAAAAAACAAAGCTTTAATCTTTGTTGGAGAATCAGTTAAAAATAAAATCATCAGCCAATTTGGAAATTCTCTCTACAAATGTAGAAAAGAGTTTCATTTGCATAAGCATTGAGCCACATTGCCTTGTACATCTCAGGTAGCTGATTAAGAAGAATGCAGAATCAATTACATACATGTTAATAAACAATTCATACATGTTACATGGATATCATTTACATACCCATCCAAATGAAAAATAAAACTTTCCACGTCCTTGCAACTTGGATTGAGGCACCTAGGCTAAACTACTAAGAGACAGAAACATAATCGTCCTCCCTCATGTTCACATTTCTGAAAAACAGCTCTAAGGCCCCCGAAGAGATATTCCTGGAGCAAAACTGGCTGAAGTTTTAAGAGATTTGCATTCATGCCAAGCAGGATCTTAAATGATACACCACATACCTGCCCCAGCCCCTGTTTTCTGTGGCTTCTCTTCCTCGGCCTTCTTCTGAAGCTGTTACTGTTCATGACATTTGCAGGTTTCCTAGGCTGCTGCCTCCTGTCCATGTTTGAGAAAGTCTAATGATTTTTCAAGTTAGAATGTATTTCTCTAAAATCTTGAAAAACTTCTTGTAAATTGTTTCCCTTCAGGTTCATGACATGTAATCCAAGTTTCACCATGTGCATCATTTTTAAGTTTAGTATTTCTTTGCCTCCTTAACCTATGCATTTGTCTCTCATCTTTTTGAAAGATGCCCTCAGGTTATTAAGACAATAGGTTTGATTTGGACTGCATTGTTTAAGGCCTTTTTTTTTTTTTTTTCACCTTTATCTCTTTTTTTTAACATCAAGAAGCCGACACATTTTAAATCTGGAGGTTCTTAGTCTTTGCAGAAAATACCAAAACACACACAGCAACAAGAAAGGAGTGCAAATGTTTATGGCCCAGGACTGGGAGTAGCACTAACAACTTCATTCATATGCCATTGCTTGGAACCCAATCACAGACTCAGAAAGGTGGGAAACAGTCCATTTCTGTATCTAGGAAACAGTGGGCAATGGATTATTATGGACAATCAGTGTGCCCTGGGAACTGAGTTCAATCACATGGCTGATGACTTAATTAATCATACTTATTATATAATGAGACCTCTATAAAAACTGTGGAGAATGAGGCTCAGAGGGCTTTCTGGCAAGTGTACCTATTGAAGCACAGAAACTCCTGTGCCCAGAGGACCCTTCTCAACTCGCCTTCATCATTCGCTGTTCATTTGTATCCTTCCCAATAAACTACTCATCGTTAACTAAGGTACTTTCATGAGTTCTCTGAATTAGTTCAGTGAATCACGAGGGAGCGTTGGGAAGTTCCAGATTTGTAACTGGCTGGCAAAGTGAACAATTGACCTGGAGATGCCTCTTGGAAACCTTGAATATATCCTTTCCATACACAATATGGAAAATGCATATTATGGAAAAAACCTTTTCGTAGATTTTAAATTTTTTGCACCTAAATAAATTAGTTTTTAATTTTGTTTTCCTTGAACTTTTTGAAATATGCTCGTTTATGTGTGTGTGTGTGTGTGTGTGTGTGTGTGTTTATGAAAAAAGAATAGGGGCTGGAGTTGTGCTGTTACTGGTGAAACTGCCTGCCACCTATGACGCCAGCATCCTATATCACACTGGTTCGAGTCCCAGCTGCTCCACTTTGCATCCAATTCCCTGTTAATAGCCTGGTAAAAGCAGCAGAAGATGGCCTAAGTGCTTGGGTCTCTGGCTTCTTGCTTTGGCCTGGCCCAACCACAGCTGTTGTGGCCATTTGAGGGGTGAACCAGTGGATGGAAGATCTCGAAATCTCTCTCTTGTTCCTTCCTTCCCTCCCTCCCTCCCTCCCTCCCTCTCTCTCCTCCCCTCACCCTTTCTATTCCTCTCTAACTCTTCTTTTCAAATAGATAAATAAATCTTTGTAAAAATTTAAAAAATAAAATAATTATTGGTCTCCCTAAAAGCAGTCAACAGTTAACCACTGTATCATAATTTATTTTCATAGCCTATAAATTTATAAAATAAAAAATATAATTTTACTACATTAAATTTTCAGTTATGTGAGTCATTAGTTTTCTATATTTAAGATTTTAATTCGATTTCTTTTAGCAATTTGATATATCTTTATGTTCACAGCACACATGGACTTCCCTGCTGAGTGGTGCCATACTTAGGGAGCTGTTTGCATGACAGTCCATGTGAATGCACTTCCGGGACTGTGTACCGCACTCTGAATGGCCCACTATGAAGACTTTGGACCTGTTATTAGAAATTATACTACTATGCACATCGTTAATACACAAATTTACACATGATGAATTGTTAACAATACATTCATCATTCATCTATAGTAGATCAATGTTTTCTTGCATTTAAAAGCAACAGAAACAAATTTGTAGTCTTTTCAAATTCTTTTTGGACTGATATTGGAAATACTAAATATTTTCTGAAAATCAAGAAAAGAATATTTCATAGTGGATCAAAGTCAGAGTTGGCAGGCAGCACCAAATCAACTACGTTGCTAATTGGATTATGAATAAATAAAAAGTGGCTCAACCTGTGTGAACCAAAAAAAAAAAAAAAAGACAAGATGCTTATGTTCATTTTTATAGATCTGTATCACCCATCAAATTATAAATTCTATGTGTTTTATTGAATTTTATATTTCCTGTTATTTAGCAAGTCCTGGCCCATAAACACGTGCATCCCTTTTCTGTTGTTCTGTGTATACTGGTACTTTCTGCAGAGATTAAGGACATCCAGTGTCTGCTTCTGGATGCCAAACAAGAGATAAGTGAGAGAAAAAAAAAAAAAGGACCTAAGGACCTTGAACAATGCAGTCCAACCAAGACCTGTTGTCTTAATAACCTAAGGATACCTTCCATGAGGTTATCAGATATGCATAGGTTAAGGAGGCAAGAAATTTATGCATCCTTCTTCTATCTAATACTTAAATATTCTCTTTAAATTCATAGGCTTCCTTTTAATATCTTGAAAGATTTTTATGCTTAATGATTAAAAGGCAAACTTTTTTGGTGTCACTCACACTCTAATTTCTACATTTATATTCTAGGTAAAAAGAATTAAATATCTTCTTGATTCTTGTGTCAATATTATTTTCTAAATCTTTCTGTTCTTGAGGTTCCTTAAAGGGGGGTGCCAACCACTTCTGCATACATTCTTGGAGGTTCCACTTTTTTTTAGGTGT